GTGTCTACTAAAGCGTTTCTATCCTAGCATTTCTATAAAGCTGTGTCTATTAAACTGCGTCTATTAGACTATGTCTATTAAACTATGTCTATTAAACTGTTTCTATTAACTAGGTAGCTTACAGGTTAAAGTTGTTATATGCGTTACATGTATAACTGCCTAAATATAAAGTAGCGTTAGCATAAAAGTTTCTGCCTAGCATAAGTATAAAGTACGTAGTGTTACTGTAGTATAAGGCGGCGTCTGTAATAAGAATATTATAGGCGCTAAGGTTGTTATTATAAGATAAGTACGCTAGTGTAATATTTATCTGCTTTAAGCTTATCTGCAAGTCTTAGAAGATTGTTACTAATTAGACATACTAGCGCATAAGCTGCTTTACCTTTTGTCTAATAGTAAAGCAGTAATAGTAAATATTGTAGGCACTATATCTACTGCTTCTACTATTGTACCTGTTAAAATACCTGTTGCTGTTGCTGTAGTAAGAGCTGTATTTACTATATATACAGAAGTTAAACACTATCCTAGTATAAGTAAAAGTTAAGCTAAAAGCTGTGTAAGTATTAGTTAAACACTAGTAGTTAAAGTAGTATAGTTTAAACTCTAAACTCTAAAGGAACTAAGGCTTAGACTAACTATTCTTAAGCTACTAAAAATACAAGCTGTTTTAATAAGCTCTACTTTAAGGCCTTTCTAGGATACTAGCTAAAGCTAGCACAAAGTTAAAGCCTAGACAGCAAGGGACGCCTTGCTAAGTTAACCTAACCCTAACACTCTAGCGTCCTTTTCTATACAGTACTTAGAGCTACTCTAGAGACAGTTTAAAGCTGCTGCAATAAAGGTGTACATAAAAGTTATTATATATTAATGTTATTTTACTAAGCCCTGTTACCTAGATCCTTTTAAGACACTAGCTAAAGCTAGCACAAGGTTAAAACCTAGATAGTAAAGGACGCTTTACTAAGTTAACCTAACTCTAACACTCTATTATTCTTTTCTATATAGTACTTAGAGCTACTCTAGAGACAGTTTAAAGCTACTGCAGTAAAGACATACATAAAAGTTATTATTTATTAACACTTAATACCTATTACACAGCAATGCTGCCAGCACCCCTAGGAGGTAGGGGAGGAGGTAGCCCTTTTAGTGCTAAGGGATAATACCCTATCCCCCTAGGTCTAGAAGGCAGTTTCGCCTGCAGGTCTTTTCTACAGCAGGTTAAGAACATGCAACTACTCTTATAAAGGTTAGCATAATAATAAGCGTAAGTTAATCTAGCATGCTTAACTTATAACTTAGCGTTATTAGAATAACACTAGCACTTTTAACTTTTTTTTTAATAGTAAGCGCACTGCTAATTACCTAGCAACTGCTTACTTAACTCTGTCTCTATAATTTAGCCCACATAACTGTAAACTGCGTCTGCCTCCCTTTACAAAGTAGACCTTGTGGCCTCTAGAGTAAACTACTACTTGCTATTCTTCTAGTAAACATAACGTTTACTAGTAAGCTAGTTAGCCTAAGCCTACAGCTGGCAAACAGGGTTTGCCTATTAACCCTAGGTGTAGTATCCTTGTGAGCCGGGCACAGGAGCAGGCACCACCACAGCAGGGGGAGGAGGAGGGAGGAGGGGAGCAGCTAAAGAGGGAGGGTCTTCCCTAAACAGCTGCTAGACCTTGTTGTTATTGTTGTTGTTGTTATTAAGAGGCAGTAGAAAGAAGAGAAGAAGAGAAGAAGGAGGAGAAGGAGGAGGAGGAGGAGGAGGAGGAGGAGGAGGAGGAGGAGGAGGGAGGCGGAGGCGGACAAGGAGGGTGGGAGGGAGGCAAAGGCGAGGGCGAGGGCAAGGGCAATGGTAATAGCAGCTATACTAATATTAGCAACTTGTGCCCTTAACTATAACTACTGTAAAGACAGCAACAGCAACTAATAGCTTACAAGGAGCAGAAAATGCGCCTACTGCAGGTCACCCTACAGCCTAAAGCAGCAGCTACTGCTATAGCTTAATGTTTATTTTAGGTTACAAAACCTAGGGCTTTTAAAGAAGACTAAAAGCAAGGCATGTTAATGTTGTAGTTAAAGTTAAACTTATAATATAGTGTTATTTATATTACTATTTAACGTACTTTATGGGCGAGTTGCTCACACACCTGAGTTGCTTACTTTTGCCAAGACCCTACTAAACTACCCTTCCTACACTAATGCATTCCCCACAACACTACTTAGACGCGCTAAAAGAATGTTAGATACAGCTTACGCTCTAAGCTTTTAAATAAGACATAAAACTCTTAAAGAAATGTGCTGTAGCTATATGTAAAGTTCTATAAAAGATAATAAATAACTACAGCACTAGACAACTTTTATAAGCTAATTCTATAGCTAAATTACAGAAGCTAGGCAATAAAAAGGAGCAGGTAATTGTTAAGACTATACTTAAGCTATATGCGCAAAGAATTTCCCCTTAGATAGCATTTATAGCTAATATAGCTAATTCTTTGCGCGCTAAGTGTAATCTAGGCTATGTTTGCATAAACTAGCCTAGTATGTTTGTAAAGCGTTATTTAGAGCTTAAAGTAACGTTTAAGCGTAAGTATAACTATAAAAGAGCCCTTTATAAAAGTCCTAGGGTAATTTAGGGCAGGTTTAGCCTTATAGAGAATATTAAAGCTAAGTATAGCATCTAGGATAATAACATGTACAACTTTAGCAAAATAGAGTTTATAATTAGCTAGATATTTCTTAACTATACTTACGCTTAAAACTTTACTTTAAGCTCTAAATAACACTTTACAAACATACTAGGCTAGTTTATGCAAACATAGCCTAGATTACACTTAGCGCGCAAAGAATTAGCTATATTAGCTATAAATGCTATCTAAGGGGAAATTCCTTGCGCATATAGCTTAAGTATAGTCTTAACAATCACCTGCTCTTTTTTATTGCCTAGCCTTTATAATTTAGCTGTAGAATTAGCTTGTAAAAGTTGTCTAGCGCTGTAGTTATTTATTATCTTTTATAGAACTTTACACATAGCTATAGCATATTTCTTTAAGAGTTTTATGTCTTATTTAAAAGCTTAGAGTGTAAGCTGTATCTAACATTCTTTTAGCGCGTCTAAGTGGTGTTGTGGGGAATGCATTAGTGTAGGAAGGGTGGTTTAGTAGGGTCTTAGCAAAAGTAAGCGACTCAGGTGTGTGAGCAACTCGCCCATGAAGTACGTTATTAGTTACTAGTAAGTTATATGTGTTATACTTTTACTATAGTAACTTTACTGCATTTTTACTTTTACTAACTTCTAAAACTTCTGTAAACTCCTAGACTAATAAAGACTCTATAATGTACAGTACTTTTTTAAATTATAGAATACTCTAAAACTTTAGCTAACCTCTGCTAATTAGATTACTATAAACTATAATTTTACTTTAAACATTTTAGATATTCTAAGTGCTCTAAAACTCTTACAAACTTCTAAGCTAACTAAGGCATAAAGTAAAAAATTAAAGCTTTTAAAAAAATGCTTAAGCTAACAACATAATTTATAACACATTAAATAGCTTTTTCTTTTTATTAGTTATATATTGCACTCTTTTACTTTAGAATACTAGTAAGAAACTAAGGACTTTTTTTTAGTAACATAATGTATTTCTATCTACATCTACTAATGCTGCCTAGGGTTGCAATAGCGTAGTGTTTACAGCTGCCTTATGTATATATAGCTTGTTCTGCCTACTGCAACTTACATTGTTGTGTACTATTACTAGCAAACTCCTGTCTTCTAGGGGCTCTAGCTAACTAGATTAACTAGCGCTAGTAGTTAGTGTTACTAGCTTACTATTAGCCTGCTTTTAAACATCCTAAAGAACCTAGACTACACACTAAAAGAAGTTATCTATAAGATTTTATAGATATATAACTTTCTAAGTAGGGCTTAATATAATTACATAAATAACACTACATAATGTGTTGTTTAGAGGTAGTATCTCTAGTACAGTTAAAGTAAAGGCACTTGCAGTTGTACAGGTATTGTCTAATATAACTAGCTAGAGGACAACGCGGCTACTAGAGGATGCAGATGCAGCCTGTAGTGTACGTTGCAGTGCTACCTTCTTAGTAAGAGTGTTATCCTGTTAATAGATTTAAGTAACGCAATCTACGCTTAAATCCTTTATAGATAATAAAGCATAGACCTAACTAGATTTATCTTGCTCTACATGCTAGTGTTATAGCTTTTTTTTATAATAAACTAAACATATGTTTATAGACGCTACTATGCCTAAAAGTATATTATAAAGTGCTTTAGCATTAGTCCTAAAATGTTTCTAACTAAATATAGATAGAATATGCTTATACATCTTATTAACTATAAGATTTACTTTAATAGTATACTTAATTTTATAGTATTGCAACAGCTTCTATTGCAAGCACGTCTTTATATACATAGATAAAGGTAAAGGTGCTTAATGTGTAAAGTTACTATAGTGTCTCTCTACCTAGATTCTAGCCTACTTATTAAGAGTAATAAGTATAAAGGTAGAAAGTGTGCCTATTCTTAAAGCAGAAACTACACTTAAGGGCTCTAGCAGTGGCGTAGCTAGTAGAAGAAGTGCAATGTTACACTTTAAATAGTAGGAACCTAGTACAATAATAGATCTGTTTTTTAAGGGGACATTATACTCCTCTAGTTAAGACAGAATACCCTTGCAGTAACATAGACTATTAGCTATATTAATCTAGCAATTGCCTATATTTGCCTAGGCCTGCATATTAGACTTTGTCTAATATCTAGCAGAAGGCTAGTCTAACTTAGCAGTTTCTTAGCTAGACTCTTGTAAGTAGACACTATTTATGTTACTAGTATTGCCTAGTGTAAAGCTTTAGGCTAATTAACTATGTACTCTTACCTTATTAACTAGTAACTAATTCTGTGCTGTTTTTCTTCTTAAAGGCTGTCTATTCTATTTAGAGTAAGGTAGCAAAACGCTTAGTTTATATAAACCCTTAAAGTTAAACAACTAATATAGTAGGAATATATACACAGTACTTAATTAACTAGGTGCGCGTCTACTGCGCCTAGCACACTGCTAGAGATTTAAAAGGCTTTTTATAATTAAAAACTTTTAGCATATAACATAGTTAATGTTAGAAATATTAATACTTATACCTAGCAAGGTAGTAGCTACTATAATTTAGATATAAGACGTTAGCTTTTTAAACTTAGAATAATGCTTGTTTTAGTTATATTTTTACATATTTATAGTAAACGTCTCTACTATGTTGTACACACACTATAGACTATTATTAATATTAGTTGTATACTAATTATAGAGTTTTAGTCCTTCTATTAAATAAAGAAGCATTAAGTAAAACTACACTACAGCTAACTAAACAGATATACACTTATTAATAAATATAACTGTTTTAGGGATCCCTTTAAAATTAGCACACCTGCTTAAGACACTTTTTTTTAGGAGAAAATAAAAACTATCTTATAAGTTAACTTTGCCTTATAGTAAAAGAACTACTAAAATAGTAATATTAAAGTAATTAACTAATGTATAGATAACCTTAGTCTAGTACATACAGCAGCCTAGCAGACAGAAACTAGCGTAGCGTAAGACTGCATCCTCTGCAGTACTGTCTAACATAGTAGAATAAGTAAACTAGACAACATCTTTTTAAAGTATAACTTATAGTTAACTTAGTATTATAAACGCAGGTTAAAACTTCTTCTAGTTTAATATAAAATAATATTTATTAATAGCTACTAATTTAATCTAAGACTGTAACTTTAGATTTTTTAAAATATTCTAGAAAGCTTTACTAGAAGCTTCCTTTAGCTTTATAAGTAGATAAGTAAATTCTTTATTAATAATTTAGGTAAATAGTCTCTACTAACTAGCTCTACTCTGCGCATTAATAATGCATAGCTTAGATCTTTTTAGTTATTATATGTTATCTAGCTGCTTATTTTTAAGCTTATTTAGTAAAATAATCTAGATAGTAATTTTAGCAGTTAACACTAAATAAGCGTAGAAGATTATACTCTTACTAAAACTAGTCTAGGCAATTAAAAAAGTATCTCTATAATTAAATATTAGTTGCTTTAAGGTATAGACTTACTTATTACATAGTAATAGGCTACTGTTATTAGCGCTTATTATCCTTCCTTTGCAGAGAATCTGTGTAAGACACGCGCAAAGAACGTCCTTCTAGAATTTAACATTATAGACATCCTTAGCTGCTAAGATAAGGCTAGAAAGATCCTTTAACTCTATAGACAGGACAAGATTAATTTAAAGCTAAAGGCTTAAAAGAATAGGGCCCTAACTTATTGCATTTAAAGCATTTTAACATCCTTGCTCCTTTCTACTTCTTTGCTATTTTAAACGCCTATCTCCCTTTTTCTTAACCCTTTTTTTTGCCATACTTTAGAAGTTTCTAGAAGTCCCTAGAAGTCCCTAGAAGTTCTTAGAAGTTTCTAGAAGTTCCTAGAAGTTCCTAGAAGTTCCTAGAAGTTCCTAGAAGTTCCTAGAAGTTCCTAGAAGTTCCTAGAAGTTCCTAGAAGTTCCTTAGAGGCGTAGGATCCCCAACGCCCTTCTTATTAACTAGGTTGTACAATGCAGTGGGTTAAGCGTAGGTGTACTAATAACTGCAACCGCACACCTACGCCTGTTTACACCAAAGTTTTAATCACAGGAGGTGATAGAGAAGGCATGTGTGCCTTAGCTCCTGCAGTTATAGAGGGATACAACGCGTGGTGTTAACAGGAGTAATAGGATAGAGATAGACAGTTAATAGCTAGGACACACAACACGTTAAAAACGCGTTTAATAATGTACTTTACCTTTTAAACAGTGTTAGATATGTCTTAAAATGTGCCTATTATAGAAATAAATACCTCTGTTTTTAATTACATTAAACATTTTAATAGATACTAATGCTAGTGTAGTGCTATTGCACAATTTAATGGATTTGCAAACTA